TGCTGAGGCCAAAATTGCTGCCAGGCAGAATCTCCCATTAGAAATACCTACTGAAGGACCCTTGGTGTGGAACAACCCCTTCCAAGAGATTAAGCCCCAGTATTCCCCCACTGAAACAGAATGGGGACTTTCACAGGGGCATAGTTTTCTCCCCTCAGGGTAGTTAATGACAGAAGAAGGAAAGGTGCTTATATATGAAACCAGCCAGTGGAAAATACTTAAAAGCCTCCAGAAAACTTTTCATATGGGTATTAAAAACACTCAAGGCCACATCCCTATTTACAGCCAAATCTCCTCCAGACCATCTCACAGGTAGTCAAAGCCTGTGAGGTGTGCCAAAGGAATAATCCCTTGGTTCATCGTAAGGCTCCTTTGGAGGAACAAAGAATAGGTCAGTATCCTGGAGAGGACTGGCAGTTAGACTTCACTCATATGCCTAAGTCAAAGGGATTTCAATACTTATTGGTCTGTGTCGATACCTTTACAAATTGGATAGAAGCTTTCCCCTGCAAGACACAGAAGGCTCAGGAAATGATTAAAGTCCTAATTCATGAAATAATTCTTAGATTTGGGTCTCCCCAAAGCTTACAGAGTGACAATGGTCCAGCTTTTAAAGCCAGTATAACTCAAGGAATTTCCAGGACGCTAAGGATACAATATCACCTTCACTGTGCCTGGAGGCCACAATCCTCAGGGAAGGTGGAGAAGGCAAATGAAACACTCAAAAGGCACTTAAGGAAACTAACACAAGAAATCTCCCATGGCCTACTCTTTTGCCCATGGCCTTGTTGAGAATCCAAAATTCTCCTCACAAAATGGGGCTCAGTCCATATGAAATGCTGTATAGACAACCTTTTCTCACAAATGACCTCCTACTTGATCAGGAAACGGCCAACTTGGTCAATGATATAACTTCTTTGGCAAAATATCAACAAAACCTTAAAAACCTACCTGAAGGACGTCACAGAGAAAAGGGAACAGGGTTGTTTCAACCAGGAGACCTAGTGTTGGTCAAATCTCTCCCCTCTACCTCCCCATCCATGGACTCTTTGTGGGAAGGACCATACTCAGTAATCCTCTCTACCCCAACTGCAGTTAAGGTGGCAGGAGTGGAATCTTGGATTCACCACACCCGAGTTAAACATTGGACATCCCCTGAGGAACCTGCAGGACTGTCAGCTCAGGAGTCCCAAGATCAGCCAGGCCAGCCTTGATACACATGCAAACCGTTGCATCTCCTATTTCGGAAGGAAACATCCCAGACTAAAAAGGTTCCTACCACTGATCCTGAGGAAAAACCCCTTCCTCCTTAAAAAGGATAAGTGAAAACCTGCATAATCTGTATCTTTAACACCCCTCCTTGCCCTTTTAATGGAATCCTTTTACTATTTCATCATATTATTAAGCAGCATACTAACCATACTGTTTGTGATAGGACTATATACTGTAGCTCCTACCAGGATGAAAATCCTAAGCACATTAACCTTGTTTCTATCTTCCTTCCTTCTGACAGCAATTTATTCCTACCTTTAACTCAGCCTGGATAAAATGATCTCGTCTTCCAAAGCGCCCTCTTTACCTTCCTATTTACTCTTTACCTATCTATCCCTCCTGCTTCCTTGGATACCTCATACAATCACCCCTCCCCTTCCACTAGCTTCTAATTGCCTCTACAAGACTCTCAACTTAACCCAGTCTCTGTTAAACCAGTCCAATCCTTCCCTGACAAATGACTGTTGGCTTTGTATCTCTCTATCAACCTCTGCTTACGTTGCCACTCCCATTCCTGCAAAAAAACTGGGTCTTTACCGACTTAACCTACCACCCTCATTATGAAGGAAAAGACCCTTTCTGACTTCCAAATATGCAATCATTAGCCGACTTTCCCATCTTCAATAGGACCAAGAATACCCTAACAGGACGTAAAAGCTGCAATCCAGCTTTTACTACTACCTATTACTATTACCTACTAGCCCATCAGTGTAATTACACCCTACAACGTTAAGCCCCAATTAATCATAGTAACTTCTGAGTCACCCAAACAGCTCCATTCAGACGGCTTGTATGCTTCTCAGGGCCCCCAAAATCATCACCTCCTCCCAGCTTAACAAACAGTCCAGGTTTTGTAATAGCAAACATACTCCCTGCATGACCATTCACCCCTGCACCCCCTGCAGCAGTGTCCCCACCACTAGTGAATGCCTTCTCATCCCCTCTTTCAATCACTCTCTCAAATGGTTCCTAGTAGACACAAAACGTTTTTTTCTCCAATGGGAAAATAGAACACAAGGAGCCACTCAGTTTGCTCCCAACACCCCTTTCCAGCCACTCACTGGAGCTACCTTGGCAAGTACTCTAGGAGTATGGGAAAACAAAAACAACAAATTCACACACCTTTTTAACATACACAACCAGTTCTGTCTACCCAGCCAAGGTATATTCTTACGTGGAACATCAACCTATAGCTGCCTCCCCACTAACTGGACAGGCACCTGCACCTTAGTCTTTCTAAGTCCCAACATTAACATCGCCCCAGGAAATCAGACCCTATCAGTACCCCTCAAAGTTCAAGTCCGTCAGTGCAGAGCCATACAACTAATACCCCTACTTATAGGGTTAGGAATGGCTACTGCTATAAGAACCAGAATAGCCAGTTTATCTACTTCGTTATCCTACTACCACACATTGTCAAAGGATTTTTCAGACAGTTTGCAAGAAATAACAAAATCTATCCTTACCCTACAGTCCCAAATAGACTCTTTGGCAGCAGTGACTCTCCAAAACCGCCGAGGCCTAGACCTCCTCACTGCTGAGAAAGGAGGACTCTGCACCTTCTTAGGGGAAGAGTGTTGTTTTTACACTAACCAGTCAGGGATAGTATGAGATGCCGCCCAGCATTTACAGGAAAAGGCTTCTGAAATCAGACAACGCCTTTCAAACTCTTATACCAACCTCTGGAGTTGGGCAACATGGCGTCTCCCTTTTCTAGGTCCCATAGCAGCTATCTTGCTGTTACTCACCTTTAGGCCCTGTATTTTTAACCTTCTTGTCAAATTTGTTTCCTCTAGAATCGAGGCCATCAAGCTACAGATGGTTTTACAAATGGAACCCCAAATGAGTTCAACTAACAACTTCTACTGAGGACCCCTGGACCAACCTGCTAACCCTTCCACTGGCCTAAAGAGTTCCTCTCTGGAGGACACTACAAGTACGGGGCCCCTTCTTCACCCCTATCCAGCAGGGATAGCTCTTAGCTAGAGCAGTCATCAGTCAAATTCCCAACCGCAGTTAGGGTGTCCTGTTTAGAGGGGGGGGATTGCCAGGTGAAGCTGTCTGGGCTTTTGAGTTGGGTGGGGCCTTGGAGAACTTTTCTGTCTAGCAAAGGATTGTAAATGCACCAATCAGCACTCTGTGTCTAGCTAAAAATTTGTAAATGCACCAATCAGCACTCTGTCAAAACAGACCAATCAGCATTCTGTAAAACGGACCAATTAGCACTCTGTAAAATGGACCAATCAGCTCTCTGTAAGATAGACCCATCAGCAGGATGTAGGTGGAGCCAAATAAAGGAAAAGAATAAAAGCAGGCCACCAGAGCCAGCACCTGCAACCTGCTCAGGTCCCCTTCCACGCTGTGGAAGTTTTGTTCTTTTGCTCTTCACAATAAATCTTGCTGCTGCTCACTCTTTAGGTCCATGCTGCCTTTATGAGCTATAACACTCACCATGAAGGTCTGCAGCTTCACTCCTGAAGTCAGCGAGGCCATGAACCCACCGGGAGGAATGAACAATTCCAGATGCACCACCTTTAAGAGCTGTAACATTCATTGCGAAGGTCTGAGACTTCACTCCTGAAGTCAGCAAGACCGTGAACCCACCAGAAGGAATAAACTCCAGATACATCCGAACATCAGAAAGAACAAACTCCGGACCCACCATCTTTTAAGAGCTGTAACACTCACCACGAGGGTCCGCGACTTCATTCTTGAAGTCAGTGAGACCAATAACCCACCAGTTCCGTACATAATAACAAGTGGCAAATTTTATATTATGTATATTTTCCACAATTTTCTAAAAAATGGAAAAAAAAGAAGAAGGTGGGTTCTATTAAGCACTGGGTGTGTTTTCCTGTATGAGGTGTGCCACTGGGATTTTCAACACCTCTACAATGCTGACCAAATTGTAGCCCAGTTAGCTTGCCTGAGGTGCCTAGGGACATCGTCCAGTCCTGGGCAAGGGTACCTGTGGGGAGAGGCATGACTGCACTGCCAACTGGGCCCTTCTTGGGTGGCACTATGGGCCTGCCCATCTCAAGGTCAGTTAGATCTCCCTGGCACTCTGGGCTGGAGGTCTACAGACTCCCCTAGAAGGCTATGTGGCCACAGTAAGAGAAGCCACCTCTACCTGCATTCTCACTACCTCCCAGTTAGAAGGAGCGGGTTGATGGCAGGAGCAGATGTCAGGAACCAGCACAGGCCATGCAGGGGCATCTCAGGACTCTCTACGGGAATAATGTAGCAGGAAAAGAACGAATCTCCCGAAACTTGGGGTGGGAATCAGAGTTCTCTTGATTTGAACAGTTTTACCCGGTGTTGCACCGCAAGATGGTAATGTGAAATATATTGTTTGCAAAGGGTAATTAGGGGCATCCAGAAATCTTAAATCTGAGAGAAAGACAGAATTGGGAGCTAGAAGGGCTAATCAGCTATTGAAGACAAGAGAGTAGGCGGCAGGCATAGGCTGGCTCAGAAGAATTTTTCTGAAAGATCTCCTTGTTAACAGCAGCCAGTTTTCACTGGTTCTAGCATGTATGTGACATTTCTTATCTCAGAGTGGCTTAAAAGTACTGCTCAGTCCTTGACAGAAGTTGCAGAATTCCGTTTCTACATCACACAGGGAACTGGACAAAATGGATTCTAGGGTTAAGTTTCTCTAAATCCAAGTTAATAATGGTACTCCTTTATTATTTCTATTTTATTTTGATACCTATGGCATTCCTTGGAGATGCTATATTACTGTTGGGAGAAAAACTTTTCCTCTATTAACTTAGGTCCAGATACCAGGGGTCTGCAAATTAACTGACAATTGATATATTAACAAAAGAAAAGATGAAGTTGATTGCCTTGTCTGTGGGAGTACTCAGTACTGATGAACTCACTGAACAGCTGGGGGTACGGGCTTACATGCCAGCTTAACCAGGGAAGGGAAAGGGTGAGGGTGAGGATGGAGTAAAGATAGAAGATTTGTTCTAGGAGGACAAATGGAAGGTAGATGGTTTTTGATAAGGTTTGTTTATGCACCTTCTCTAATGGTCAGCCTCCTTCCTGGCTGGAAACTTCCCAGGACAGGGCATTTATTCTCAGAAGTCTCTGCCTTTATTCAGATAAGGGAAGCTCCAGAAAGTCTTCTTTCTGCCTCTGCTGTATTTCAAATGTCTTCAATTTAAAGTAATCTTTATGCCGTCTTGGGGTGGATCCAAGTGGGTCCCTTCATTACTATCACTTCTTTTATGTTCAAATGCTGTTATAAGAATCACGTCTTGATAACCGCACAAAAATTTGAATAGGTAGAGCTGGAGTAATAATCGTAATGGGAGCTAACATTTGCAGCAAGCTTACTGTATGTCAGGCATCATGCTTAGCATTCTACATGGATTATCTAATGTAACCCTCGAAATGACAGCAGGAAGTGGGTGCTGTCATTTTTGCAGGAGGAAACTCAGGCTTGGGGAAGTTAACATGTGGCCGTGTGATCAAGTGAAAATCAAACACCGGCTCCTCTGACGGTAGAACCCGACTTCTTGTAGTAATTGTTTACTGTTGCATAATCAATACCCGCAATGCAGTAGCCTAAAACAATACACATTATTATTTCTCACCATGTCTGGGAGTTTTCGTGAGGCTGAGTTGGATGTTGGCTGAGTTGGCAGCCATCTGAAGACTTGTTTGGGGTGACGGGATCTACTTCCAGGGTGGCTTTTTCCTGTGACTGTCATACCGGTGCCAGCTGTTGTGGAGGCCTCAGTTCCTCGCTGGGGACCTTGCTGCAGAGTGATCTAACTATGCAGCAGCTGGCTTCCCCAGAAGCCAAGGCAGCAGCTGCAATGCATTTTATTACTTATTCTTAGAAGCCACGCACCACCACTTCTGCAGTATCCTATTAGTCACACGGGTTGGCTCTATTCACTGTGAAAAGGGACAGTGCATGGATTCCAGGAGTGAGGATCTTTGGGAGCCAGTTCAGGGCCAGCTACCACATTTCTACTACACTTTTCCTTCTTTACTATCAACCTAGGCAAAAGTGCTGTGAAATGAAATTTATAAGAGTCTATAGTTTTTGACTGAGCTCACGCACTAATCTCCAGCAGACCAGACCAAACCAAACCAGAATGGAGTCACTCATGCTGGGTGCCATGTAATGAAACTGAACTTAGACATGGGACATTTTACTAAACAAGATTCACAGCAATCAATCCAAAGGGGCCTGGTCAGCCTGAAGCAGTGTGATAATGAATTCCCATCTGCCTTAACCCTACAAGGAAAATAATTTTAAAATGAACAATCTGTTTTTTGTTCCTTGTTTTTGCTTTCTTCTGTCATTTGCTCTCTGTAAAGCCAACTTCCTCTGCTCAGCTCATTAGAGCACCTTTTTATTTAATAAATGTGATGCTGCCCGATTCATGAATTGCTAATAAAAGCCAATTAGATAATTAAACTGAATTTGTTGAAATTTTATTGCTTGACAGTGCTTAGACAGGCACCTGGCACTTGGAAGTCTTTCAATAAATCCTAACTTGTTTACATGGAAGAAAAATAAAAAATTCAGGACCCCAAACTATGCCCAAAGAGAAAAGTTTAGCTTTGGAACCGAGTCACACAAAAACTGCCTTCATTTTGTTCCTAAGTAGATAGATGCAAAGATAGAAGGCCACATACCTCCCCAGGTGGCCTCTCTCACAATTTGCTCATGAGGAAATTCTTTGGGGGCCCCAAGATCTTTATTCTGAAACTCTTGTGAATTTTACCCTGACAATGTAAATTAAGAGCTTATCTTCACAGGTGCAGGACAGGCAGGACTAGGAATCCCCCCTCCACTCACCTGAGACAAATGCATGTCTCATGACTGCTTCCCCTGGTCTCTGTTTACTTTATCTTATATAAAAATGCAAACTCACTGAACCTGAGACAAGTGCATGGTTGACCGTGGTCCTCAACTCACTCCTTTAACATATAAAATGTGGATTTGATGAGTGCTAATCAAAGCCTCAAAAAGAACAAGAAAAAAAAGAGATCTTTTTTTTCTTCCTTTAGGCTGGAAGCTGCTAAAGTACATTTAAAGGTTGAAATTAAGGAGCCAGTGGAGAGGATGATGGTGAAGATACAGGAAATATGGGGATCTGTAGAACTTCAAAAGAAACCACATGCCACCTTTTGTTTACCCTTCCCCCCTTTTATTCTTTTTGTTTCCTCTGCTGCCCACTCTTCCCCCTTTAAATATCGAAGTCCTCAAACCCTGTTTGGAACAAACACGAATCACAGATGTTCCTGTGATTCGTGTTCCTTTTCACCAGGCACATCCTGAACTTTGGCAAAATAAACCTCTAAGTTGATTGAGACTTGCCTCAGTCATTTTCTTTGGTTTACATTTCTGTCTTTCCTCCCAGCTGTTTTCCAGCCCTCAGTCATTAGTACATAAGAGTTGCACATCAGTGCATAAAGACTTGAAGGCATTTTGGTAGTAGTGGAGCAAATGAGCAGATGACATCCCACAGTGAGATATGTGGTGTTAGACAAGGAGGAAAATAAATATTGAGTGTTGTCCATTGGTTTTGCAACTAAAAGTTCACTGGGCAGAGGGAAAATGCTTGCTTGCTGTAAATAGAGTAGCTCAGAGGAGTTTAAAGGTAGCTGCGTTGAGTAGATAACCATTATAGTAAATTTGAATGTGAAAGAACAGAGCTAGTGGGTAAGAGTGAAAGAAGGGATCTGACTTGATAAAGAGATTTTTTTTTTCTTCCTTTAGGCTGGAAGCTGCTAAAGTACATTTAAAGGCTGAGGTTAAGGAGCCAGTGGAGATGATGATGGTGAGCATACAGGAAAGAGGGGGATCTGTGGATGGGATAAGATCACTGGGGAGATGGTAAGAGATACTTTTAGTTATCCAGTGCTGGGTAACAAAGTGCCCCGAACCTAAATTATTAAGATGGAGTTGGTTTTGTTTTGTTTTTGTTTTTCTTATAAATTTGCAAATTTGTGCTTAACTTGGTGGAGATGGTTTGTCTCTGCTCCACTGACCATTAGCTGGGGCAGCTTGGGGGCTGAGGGATGGAGTCATCTGAATGCTCGTGTGTCTGGTGGTTCATGCTGGCTGTCAACCAGGACATTAGCGAGGACTGAGCAGAAACACCTCCACAAGCATCATGGCTGGATTCCAAGAGCAAGGACCCCAAGAAGATAGGTGGAAGCCTTACCACTTGTTATGAGTCAGCCTTGGAAGTCAGGAAGCTTCCCTTCCACTGTAGTCACAGGCCTGCTTAGATTCAACAGGAAGGACCATGCACCCACAGTGTCAACTTCCAACTCTAAGGAGAAAATGCAGGATGGGATATATTGGTGAGGTTATCTTTGGAAAATACAATCTGCCCAGATAGTCTCTGCACAACTTGTTACTTGCAAGTTCAGAATGTTCACAATCTAGCTGTCTATCTCTTTTCTGTGCTCTAATATATGAGAAGGAGCTGACCAGTACAGCACAAGCACCCATTTGTGAGGTGTAGTGCAGTATGGAACACAAAAGGGGAACTGCCTGGGTGAAGCAAGGCACACCACTTCATCTACCATATTATCTGGGCTCAAGTCTGTATTCTGGAGGACAGCTGGAGAGCTCTGACTAATGGGGTCTGCTGTGCAGAGTGGCTAAATGAAGTCATTGGAGCCCCTTATGAGGAATTTGAAGATAACTGCTGTCATCGATATTAGCAGTCAGGAGTAGGAGCAGAAGCTGAAATACACAAATAAAAGGCACTCAACTGAAGCCATAAGGCAGAAGTGTTTATGAGTAAGCAGAAGCCGTAAACTAGAGGGAATTCTGAAGACAGGAGGGAAGGTAATTCACAGTGCAGGAGTGGAGGAAGAAGGGACAATGGAGCCGAATCACAGCAATGACTGAGCGTGAGAGCCAGGCAGGTGCCTGCTGCTGAGAGTGACCCCAAGAGAACCCATGGCTTGAGACAACTCTCCAGGTGCCTGAGTGCCAGCCAGGGTGGCAGCCAACGTGGAGACCTCCTTCTCAGCTTCACTAGGTCTTCCTATACTGGGCTCTGATCTCCTGAGATTGGTAGACTTTGTTTGACCCAAGAGTGCCTATCTGGCACAGAATCTCAAAATTAACTTTAGGCGAACTTATTAGGGTGCCAAAGGTATATCTACCTAAAAAAATCAATACTTGCCCACAAACTGGAATTAGCAATATCTGGCAAAATATTATAAACTGTTTTGACAAGTTGCAGGTGACTCGCTCTATGTGTTTGTTCATTGTCTAATATTTGTAGAAAGACATTATAGTAAAGGATTTGTCTGGGGAATCCTACAATCATTTCACTCTGTAATATGCTCCTTGCAGATGGAAGGAGGGTATATTTTCTGAGCTGGTTAGCTGAAGGGCTCAAATCATAGCACACGTCTGTCACTTCCATGCACTCTCTCTCCTGGATCATATTTATACTCAATTGAAGTCTTTTGCAGCCTTTAGTGGCTGATCACCAATTGAGTGTCTGCCCTCCCCATGGACCAATGTCTAATGTTACAGTACAGGACACAGGGATTATTTCAGTGAGTTCCTGCACTAAGAGTGGTGTTGGCAACTTTTAGAAACCCACCCCTTCATCCTGGGCAAGACTTCCTATCATGTGGCTAGAAAGAAAAGTCAACGACATTTATTCTGTGACCTATGTATTACTTTGTATGTTGCCAAACATTCAGCAAGCTAGTGAGTGGTCTGTTTATTTGCAAGCTAGGGCCAATGCTTCGTATCTCTAAAAGCTGAGTACTGCTATTGCCACCATCAACTGGTACAATCTTTTTTTTTTTTTTTTGAGACTGAGTCTCCCTCTGTCACCCAGGCTGGAGTGCAGTGGCGCAATCTTGGCTCACTGCAACCTCTGCCTCCTGGGTTTGAGTGATTCTCCTGCCTCAGCCTCCTAAGAAGCTGGGATTACATACAAATGCCACCACGCCTGGTTAATTTTTTGTATTTTTAGTAGAGATGGGGCTTCACCATGTTGGCCAGGCTGGTCTTGAACTCCTGACCTCAGGTGATCTGCCCACCTTGGCTTCCCAAAATGTCGGGATTACAGGCATGAGCCACCGTGCCCGCCCAACTGGCATGAACTTTTAACAGCTTTCTAAAATAGTCACATATTCTCCTCTTATTTAGCTTCTAAAAAGCATTGTGTATTACTCAGCATTCTAACTAGCAGGAAAGAATTTTATTAAAGAGTATCAGGCACCTTAAAGAACACAAGGAGGTCAAAGTCAGGTTTTATAGCTGTGCCCCCAACAGAGCTAGACATACGACACCACAAGGCATTCCAGAGAAACTGCAGTAATACCCCAGTTGTGGGCCTGGAAAGAACCATGGTCATGCTTGCTGTAAGGCTCCAACACTCTGCCTCCATCCTCCTTAGAAACAGGTGTATGTGGTACCTGTTTCTTCTTTCCCCATTGAAGCTTCATGTGAATGTGTCTGATTGACCTAGGACACATGCCCATGCTTAACTGTACCAATCTTTGGTAGCAATGACAGTTCTTAGCTTTTTTTTTTTTTTTTTTTTTTTTTTTTTTTTTTTTTTTTTTTTTTTTTGAGACAGAGTCTCACTCTGTCACCCAGGCTGGAGTGCAGTGGCCGGATCTCAGCTCACTGCAAGCTGCGCCTCCCGGGTTTACGCCATTCTCCTGCCTCAGCCTCCCGAGTAGCTGGGACTACAGGTACCCGCCACCTCGCCCGGCTAGTTTTTTGTATTTTTTTTAGTAGAGACGGGGTTTCACTGGGTTAGCCAGGATGGTCTCGATCTGCTGACCTCGTGATCCGCCCGTCTCGGCCTCCCAAAGTGCTGGGATTACAGGCTTGAGCCACCGCGCCAGGCCTGACAGTTCTTAGCTTTTAGAGGTAAGAAGCATCAGCCCAAGCTTGCAAATAAATGGACCATCCACTTGCCTGCTGAATGTTTGGCAGCCTACAAAATGATACATGGGTCATGGAATAAATATGTCATAGATGTTTCTTTCCAGCCACATGATAAGAAGTCTTGCCCATCATGAGGAGGTGGGTTTCCAAAAGTTGCCAAGGAAGGATGGGAAAGAACATTTCTGGTTCCTACTTTGGGGAGGCAAGGCAAAATAGGGGAGATTCTTCAACATAGGAAGAATGGCCAGGAGATGCTGAGCAGTCAAAAATTATAACAAATATAACTGTCACCAGATGACCAGAGGCATCATTTTAATGTCTTTGTATGGATATTATTTAACTTCTAAAAATTACAAAAAATTGCTAATTGTAGACTCACAGGAGATCTGATAACAGAGCACCTTTTAGATTTCTCTAACCAGTGATGTTGGTTGACTTATCTTGTGAAAGAGTCCTCTGAAATAGCTGTCTAGCTCAATTGCAATGCAGTTTCTCAGTTATTTCATAACCCGTTTGAAGCAGAGCTCAAAGCTCTCTACTCAGTGGGTGACTGCATAATTGTTTTAGTTCATTTGTTAAACATAATTGTTTTCCCTTACTTCTATCCTCCTCCTTTGATATATACTCTGCAACTAGATCCCTAATGAATATGGTTAGTGCTTCCCATGGTGTGCAAGGGATAGAGGCTGTGATGTTGTTGAGTTGAAGACATGTCTCCATTTCATGTTTCAGGGACTTAGACACTCAGGGACCAAGTTAAAAGAAGAGTTCTTCAATTGCTTTATTTGAACAAATTTTGCCTGTCATCATGCTCAAGGGGAGCTAGACAATAGGGAGGAAGGCAGAGGGCACAGAACAGGCAGGGTATATCGTGTATATTGTGTTAACCTACCAGTTCCCTGAGTCACCCACCAACTCTGAAACTAACTATAAATGTTTAAACACAGATGCTATGGTTTAAATGTGTCCCCCAAAAAGCATATGTTGGAAATGTAATTCCTAGTGCAACAGTGTTGGGGTCTAATGAGAGGTGACTAGGCCATCAGGGCTCTGCCCTTATGGATTAATGTCATTATTATGGGAGTGGGTTCGTTATTACATATTTTTGTTTGTTTTGTGCTGCTATAAAAGTCTACCACAGATGGTAATTTATAAAGAAATTTATTTCTCACAGTTCTGGAGGCTGGGAAGTCCAACAACAGGGTGCCATTATCTGGTGACGGCCTTCCTGCACATGATGGAAGTCACCACATGGGTGAGAGAAAGGAGAAAGAGGGCCAAACTCAGCCTTTTATCAGGAACCTACTCCCACAATAACTAACCCACTCCTTCAATAATAGCATTAATCCATTCATGAGTGCAGAGCCCTGGTGACCTAAAGACCCCGCCTCTCAACACTGTTGCATTGGAAATTAAGTTTCCCACATGGGAACTTTGGGGGACACATTCAAACCACAGCATTGTGGGAGTGGGTTTATTATAAAAGGATGAATTTGACCCTGGAAAGGATGAGTGTGTGCCTCTTTCTGTCTCTCCCTCTCTTTGCCCTTCTGCCTTGTACCATGATATGATGCAGCAACAAGGACCTCACCAGATACCAATGCCTCATTCTTGGACTTCCCCGTTTCCGGGACTGTGAGAAATACATTTCTGTTCATTATAAATTACCCATTCTGTGGCATTCTGTTATAGCAGCACAAGATAGAGTAAGACAACAGACATCCCAGTATATATGTGGAAGACAGAGTCTTGGAAACAACAAGTCAGAACATATTCTTGTGAAGAGTAGTTACCTGTAGTGATCCCTTGTGAATTTTAGATATCATACTTCTAGAGATCTCAGAGTGTTTTATAGACACTATCTTATCCACCCTTGTAATATCATCTATAAGATAGTTGTTCCCAAGCCTGGAAGAACTAAAGAACATTAGATCCATGCACTCTTAGATATCAGAGGAGGTGCCAGTGAATCATCACCTTTTCTGGGCTCTAACCTCTACTGAGAATAGATACCAACAAAATTCAGTTAAATGTGTCAGGTATTTAGGGCTAGGTAGGTCAGTACAGCTTAGACCCAATACTGAAAGGGAATGCCTTACTTCCTGCCCCTCTGAATTGAAAAGTTGTGCCCAGTGAACAGTCTACATGGCCTAACCCACTTTGCCTATCCCAAATATATAAAGATTTTTGCCCTATGCTTTTTAAAGAGCTTTTATAATTTTAGCTTTTGTGTGTAAGCCTATATTCCATTTCTAGATAGTTTTTGGATGTGATATGAGGTAGAAGTGATGATTCATTTTTTCTTATATATATCTGGTGATAGAAGTGCTTCTGAGCCAGTGACAGAATAGAGCTGGGCTGGGCCTTACCAACGCATTTCCAGCAACAATCCTGAACTGCTTGTTTTCTGAGGAAGCGGATGGTAAATGATCCAAGGAGCTGAAAGAAAATCCCCAAATTTAGCAATACTGTCTGCTGGATTTCTAGTTAGTTTTATTTGAAGTTCATACATTTTACCCTCCCTCAACATTTTTTCTTATAACATGGATTCTGTTGAACCTCCCTTAACTTAGATAGATAGATAGATAGACACATAGATAGATAAAATCAATTCACTTGTTTAAATGAATCCTGAAAAATATTATAAGACAATAAGTTAAACCACTTACAAGAGTTTTGTTAGGTACTAATCTTTTGTTCCTAACCCTGTTCCCAGAAAGAAATCCTATTTTTGTGGGCAAAAATAGACCAGACACCTTTTCCCCACCCCATGGTGCAATGGAGTGCACAGAAGTCATGTTCAAATAAATCTTATAACTTAGATGTTACAGAGAACAAAACCATCATGAAGTAGATGAACTGTTGGAAACTGAGGTGCTCTGACTCAGCCTTTGCATCTTTGACTTATGCATGTTTGTACAGTTGTACATTTCTGATTATTATAATTTTGTCTATCAGATTAGTTATAAAATTTCACCCAAGGAGCAGAAGTTCGTTGTTGTTGTTTTATGAAGAGTCCCAAAATTCTGCTTTAAAATAAAACAGGACTCCAAATGCATACAGCAACATTTATTCTTCACACAGGGCATATACACAGCATGTACATGTGAAGTAGGTACACATGAAACCTCAACAATTACTATAAGGTACAAAATTAAGCACCGAATGGATGGAATCATTAACAAGTGCTATGGGACTACAGAGGATACTGAGACTATGGTGTTCTAGGGTGGTCAGAGAAAGCTTCTGGAGGATTTAGGCCTGATTTAGTCATTTAAGTTATGAAGAAGTCACCTCAGAAGGATCAGTGTGGGCAAGGGCATAGAAAAGGAGCTGAGCATCACATGGTGGGACAGCAACTAGGCTTTCGATGGGACCTTGAGCAACATGGTCGAGACAGGTAGCCAGGAGTCAGGAAGCCTCCTATCCCTATGGGATAGTTCCCTGAATGAGATATCACAATTATAAGACACATGATTACTTTATATACCACTAACTAGAGATTTTTGCCAATTAAACTATGACATACCTTTGATTATAAGAAGCACCCCAATTTCAAAGATGTTAGAATGTGTATGGGGAGGCATAAAAACATGGCTGGGTGTGGCAGCAAGCCGCCAAAATGACCACAAACATCCCTCTGTCCTTGTGTGAACACGCACCCATAGTACCCTCCCAGATCTATGTGACCAATAGGATATGGCAGAAATGTGGATGTATGAATTCCAAGATTAAGGTCCAAAGACACTGCAGCTCCTGTTTTGTTCTCTCTCTCTCTCATCATTGGCTTTTGAGGATACCCAGGCAACCTGTAGAGGGAACTGAGGCCCTGCAAAGAATGGAGATTTACCAATAATTGCACAAATGAACTTGAAAGTGAATTGTCCAGCCTTCAGATGACTTCAGTCCCAGCTGGGAGTTTGATAGCAACCTCATGGGAGACCCTCAGAGAGAACCACCCAACTAAGCTGCCTATAAATCTCTGACTTTTAGAAGCTGTGTGTAATAATAATAATTACTTAAATATTTCTTGTTTTGAGCTGCTAGTTTGGGGGTAATTTGTTACATAGCCATAGATAGAATTAATGAATACCACATATAATGTGTGTGCGTGAGTGTGTGTGTATATATATATATATATATATATATATATATATACACACACACACATACTAGGTAAGTGTCAATCTGGGGCTCAGAAACAGATAGACTCATCTGATTTAAAGCATCCTCCTGAGTTTTCCTTCCTGGCTGTCTGCAGATCACCTGCCATCATGAATGACACAGTAACTATCTGGACCAGGAAACTCATAACCAACCAAATACTTCAAAGGAAACAAATGGTCATAGATATCCTTAACACTGGGAAGGCAACAGTACCTAAGACAGAAATTCTGGAAAAATTAGTCAAAATATATAAGACCACAGGGGATGTCATCTTTGTATTTGGATTCAGAACTTATTTTGGTGGTGGCAAGATAGCTGACTTTGGTGTGATTTATGATTTTTTTGGATTATGTAAAGAATCATGAACCCAAACATAGACTTGCAAGACATGGCCTGCCTCCATGAGAAGAAAAAGACCTCAAGAAAGCAGTGAGAAGAATGCAAGAATAGAATGAAGAAACTCAGGGGGTTGGCAAAGGCCAATGTTGGTGCTGGCAAAAAGCCAAAGGAGTAAAGATGCTGCAATGATGTTATCTGCAGACACTGTGTGGATTAATAAACTAAAAACTTTCAAGTGAAAGAAAGGCATCCTAGTGCTTCCACTTAGACCTTGAAATGCCCCAGAATCAGGTGTAGAGATTAGAAATAGGTAATCACAGTGGGACTCAGGTGGTGGATGACACAATTGCAAATGAGGATGGTTTACGGAAGCAAGACTGGAACGTACTGAGCCAAATCAAAGAGCCTTAATAGCAGAGACAGCTGTCTGCCTTTGTCCTGAAACACTTCCTCTTCTTAAGGAGCCAACTTCAGAACAAAACCCCACTATATTTTACAGAAAGAATTAAGCGGAAATACTTGTACGAAGTGGGAAGCTCAAGGGTAGGTGTGGATTCAGGCATTTATAGAACATCAGGACTTTGGGAAGATATAAATTAGTGCTCACTCCCAGAGGACGCTGCCAGCCAAGCTAAGGTATTTTGACTTTATTATACAAGCAGAAGGCAGCCACAACTGATTTGAGACAGGAGAATTAGGTACTAATAACAATGTTTGGAAGATTAAACTGGCCATGTCATGCAATATGACTTCGAGTGAGAGAAGCTATGAAAGCCATGGCCAGTTTCCAATGTGAGGATATTATTAATAGTTTAGACTTAGAGAATCCAACCTTTCTCATCCCTCTGGCCACTTGCCTAGCTCAGGGTCAAAGGGGAGCCTAACATCTCCGTTCTCAAACCCCACCACATTTAGAAAACCCTCTTCCCATAGCCACTCACTCTCTCACAAAAGTTCTTCTGTAGAAATATCCTAGAGGATGCAGTCTATCTGAGCTAATACTGTGCCGTCATGCTGATGCTGCAGTCTCACCAACGTACCTTAATGTAGCGGTTTCCCTGGGGTTCTTTGTCCTACATCCAAGAAAATTAAGGAATGCAGACGTAAGGGTGGGGTTGGAGTCAAAGTTGAATAAGCGAAAAAAGAAAGCGTTCTGCAGCAGAGAGGGGAGTCCAAGTGGATTGCCGGGTTACAGCTGAATTTAAAAGCTTTTTGTAAGAAACTGCTTTCTTCCCTGTAACTGTTTGAGTAACTTTTCTTACCAGTAAATCTGTCTGTGCAATTCTTCTCTTATGCAGCTGTGGGTATGTCTCCAGGCAAGCACAAAGCACTGCTTCTCTTGTTTGTATAACTATGGGTTTGTTTTAGGTAAGCCCCCTTCCTCCCTGTGCAAGTTCCCACCGTGTATGTGCCTGTAAAGGGGAGGAAAGTTTTTCCTAGGAGCTCACTAATTGTACAAAGAACAAAGAACCTTTGTGCTGGACCCCGTTTGCTTATCTGTTTGCAGGTGCAGCCTGAGTTTTTTTCCCAAGTTATTTTATTTTTGCCTGTTACTGTGACTTTTCAGGCAGGCCACTTCTGCGGTCTGAATTTTTCCCAAATGATTTTCCTTCCTTTCTCCCTCACTGAGAACAGGACCAAAGGGGTGCTGGACTGTGGGAGAGGCTAAGGTGTGTGCAGAGACCTTGAAGAGGAAGGACAGATGGGCATCTTTCCCCAGTGTGTGCAAGGAGGTTCACAACAGCTGATGTTTAGATGGGAGCCTCAGACCTGCAAAAACAAAAGACAGAAAAGCTCCCTATTGTTTATTCATCTAATAAGCTGAGAGAGACCCTAACGGTCATCAAATTCAATTCATAAGTTTGAAAATAAGGCCTTGAGCCCACCTACTGGTCTCTTACCTTCCAGGCCAGTCTGGTGGCACCTGCTGTTTACCTCTTGTTCTCCTCAAAGGAAGGAAGCTCAGTGTCTACCTGTCTCTGAGGGGAGCCATCCATACACGGGGGAGTGACTTAGCATAGGGTTCTTTGGAAAGGAGATGCTCACTTGGGTGTTTTTGCTTATTTTTTGGTAAGTTAAGAGAACTTCGTTCTGGTACCTACCACTTTCACTAGGCAAAAATCATGTTTACATCTGGGTGAAAGAGAAAAGGATTCCTGCTTAGTTTTCTTTTCGTGTCTGCACTTAGGGAAAAGTTAGCAGATAAACTCTATCTATTTTTTTTTTTAAATAAGGCCAATTTAAGAGTGTCAAAAGATTCATGTTATTTATTCAGGATTATTTGTTTTTACTCCTATACTTGTTCGACACTAGTATAGACTTATTCACCTTCACTTGGAAATTTTATAATTCTAACCCAAGGGAAAGAACCCTTCTTTCATTTCTGTAATCCATTTCCTTCTTCACATGTCTTTTTATCTCTTTTTTTCAGAAAGTCACATGCTTGACTTGTAACACTTCATGCTACCTGAGAAGAAAGGAAAAGTCACTTTGTGCTTGACTCACATAAGATGACTGAAATACCTGTTCACAAGATTAATAGCAGAGCATTATTTACCAACCTGTGCATCTTATTAAACATCATTTTCTTCTCTTTATGTTTCACAAAAACAAGCTCTGCAGGGATCTCTTTTGGCAATATTGCAATCTAGTTAGCCGAATCAACCTTTCTGCTGAAAATAACTAAAAAGTTTGAAAATCAGAGCTTTCTTAAAAGCACTGATGAGCTGGCAAGAAACCAAGAAATACACAGGGCAAAATCTGAGGGGAAGTGGGAACTGAGAGAAGTGAACAGAGTCAGCTTTTAGCCTGGGGACATTTGCCAAGCTTGATTCTGAGCTTCAGCTTTCATTGCCTCTGGGAGCACCAGAGGCAGGAGGCAAAGCATGGGACAGCCAAAGTGGGACATCCTGGACATCTTCTTCCCTCAAATA